CTTAGGTACACAACGTCGCTGAACAAACAAACGAGAGCAATAATTAAATTTAATCTATCTGAATGTATAGGGGAAAAAGGTTTAGATTCCAGTAGTGGGGGAGTTAAATATATATTACGTAAAAGTTGAAGTAGCGCTATATAAGCAAAAGGAATATTTCAATGTTAAAAATATCCGACTTAAATAAGCCTAAAGATTCTTTCTGACAAATATTATGGAAATCCGCGAGATTTAAAGAAAAAGCTAAAACAGGATTCTAAAAATGTGAGATGAAATTTTAAGAGTGACATTTTCAACTTGGTAATATAATCCTTTTTAAAATTCTGTTTTCTATTTAAAACGAATACTAAATAAGAATAAAGTGTGACATTGAAAAGGTGGATAATATCCCTTCCTACTTTCCACCCTCTGTCACCGTCCATGGAATTGAAATAGTTAAGCTCTGACATATACTTCATGTTGTTTGTTTGTAAATCTTCATAATAACGGACTGTCATTTGACCCGCTTATTTCAAGCTGCACGAGTTTACTCTCGTATTATTTTTAGGATCGACCTAAAGGAGTACCTCACTGATTATAGGAATCATTAAGCTCTTTTCAGATTTTATTTGTGAAAAATAATTATATTCGTACGCTGCCTTTTTCCGCATTTTAATCATTGTGGCAAAGAAAACGGAGGTAATTGAATAATAACCCATGCACAATACATCCCTTGGGGAAAGTTCAACAAAAATTAATTAACTGTTACTTAATCCTGAATAATTCAAATACTTTGAACGGAAGCGTATAATCCTCTTCCGCCAATTGAAAGAAAATAGTCTCGAAATTGCGCTAAAGTTTAATTGCTAAATGAAGGCATTGTATTCCAAGTGCTTTGATGCATACGCTTCTCCGTTAATTTACAATGTTACAGCTCAATTCCTACGTTCTTCGTGACAGGTAACTCCATCTTGTTGCAACTACTTTCGTGTTCAAAAAATCTAGCGTTGTGCTATACTTAAAAGGATATTATCTTGCTAATATAAAATCTCCTAGCAATTTCCATGCAATTTGTATAGAACCTTTAGATTATTCAAACCCAAAGTTCTTTAATTCTTAAAGTCGTTATTAAATCTGTTCAGAGCCTCCTCAGACTAATATACTTAGGCCCACCTTAGTATTTCTCTGTTATATTACAGTCTTCAGGACTTATAACGAAGTAAGTGAGTGGTTAGATAGCCGACCTGCAAATCGTGGGTACCACTAGTTTATGGAAGGGATTATGAACAGAAAAATGGAATGCAAACATCATAACATCACGCGAGCAGGATTTCATTTATTTTTGCTCGCTAATATTATTTTAATCAAAATAACTGCTAGCACTTTGTTGACACTTCTTTAGCGTTCACCTTTTAAAGTGCGCAGATTGATAATAATATAAAACATAATGGTTAAACTCAACGTAGCCCGGTAGCCTGAGGCTTGAGTGAGAAGCTTTTAGTAAAAGTGGCAGTTGTTTACAGTTCCTTAAATTCATATTCTAAGTAGGGGAGGAAATAAATTGTTTACCGCCATATGCATAATTTAAAAGTGCGTTAATGTAATACATATTAAAACCCATATGCAGAAACTTTATAATTTTGTTTGTTTAAACAGCCCTTACAATTAAATTGCAACAGTAAAATCAGCAACTTGGAAATTAGCTATATATATACTAGTGCGACCGCACGACTGGTTGCTTGTAAAGCCAGAACTCCAGCAGTCGACGTACTGAAATTGATAATATTACATTCAGTTCAGATAAGGCTTTGTCTGGTTGCAAAATTTGTACAGAATGCACTGTTAACTAAGCATTGAAGTTATAATAGGATTTAAGTAGCGTAGCAGTCGATAAAAGCTTTCCTAGTTTTGGAATCTCGATGCATAGCTTTATAACAGAATTGAAAGAAAATTTTCAGGACATTGTTTTTCATACACACAAACCTTGTACACGTCTCAGCTTGGCGAGATTGTTTTATACACCCCATTATTGTGTCTGTGCCACCTACACCTGCAGAAATGCGGCTGTTTTGTTCTGCTATTTCTGGTCAACTGTATTTAGACTAGAATGTGAGAGCATGTTCAAAATCTAATATTAATCCTCGTGGTGTGCTCAGTTTAGATTGCGGTATAAGAATCGCATACGATTTTCAGTAGGAGAATTTTTTGACACTCGGCTCGCATTCGGAAACACACACTGATCCTTGAACTCGCAGAAATCGAATAGCAAAGGTTTGATATCGCTGTCCCTTTTCGTTTTCCAATTAGACGAGAAACAGATGGACGGACAAAACCATCACATAACGAGAATTTTTTTCTTTCGAAAATTCCCCTATAAAGGCCGAATATGAAATTTAATCGTTCAGTGAAGCAAACTGTAAAATAGGAATTAAATTTATAGCAAAGTAAGCGTACTACCAAACAAAAACCCTGGACAGTTAATAGTACCTAATGCATTTTGACCATTACTTAACTTAAACGGAAGTTACATTCACATAAACAAACGAAACCCAAAATTCTATGTTATTAAGATTAAAGAATCAAAATTAATACACAAATGATGAGACAAGCTACCTGCAGGAAACATAAAGGGGAAATCACCTTACGCAAAAACCAAAACGTGCACGATGGAGTCAGGAATGTGAAAATGCATTCGAAAGCAGCTAGCCGTATACCTTAACCTAAGGCATGATCCTAAACATAGACCAGAGAACTACCCCTCGCCAGCACAAGAACAAGTACAGTCGCACAATTGAAAAATAACAACGCGACAGCAGAAGACAAAATCAATGCAAACTGGAAAAATTACCTTGATCCTTGATCTATCAGTGTTACGTGGGAAAGGTGAACTGTGTTGAATAGGGTTATGGAAGAATGGGCTACGCGAAAAAAAACCAGTAAATACAGCTAAAAGTAAGTTATTATTTTATTTTTTTTAATTTTATTTTGCCTTTATTTTTTAAGTGGGCGGGGTTTCAGCCGAGGCTGCTCTACCAACCCAACCCACTATACATTTACAAATATCCATGCCCGAACCCGGATTCGAACCAGGGACCCTGTACCGCAGTCGAGCTTCCACTGAACTGCACTACACGGGCCGGCAACTGCGCTACACGGGCCGGCAACTGCGCTACACGGGCCGGGCCTTGCAATTGCAGACGATTTTCTAATATGAACAGAAAGCTGGAACCAGCAATTAAATAAATCGAAATACTAAAAGATTGTGTAAAAATATCTCGTAGTGGACCCGAAAACACTTAAAGAAAGCAAAAATCTACGCTTAAGGAACTGACAGTAACAATTTTAGGAACAAAGTTGACACATGGCAGCAAACTAAGCAGAAGCAGTACAGCTTAAAATTAATTCATATTGCTTACGCATTCGTTAATAATGTTAATAATGAATTTTTTCCATACTAATGTAGTGTGAAAATAAATATTCTAGGGCTCTTTGGTAAAAGAAACGTAAAGACAGCTACCTATCGAAAATTTTCACCAAGATAGGAAAACCAATGCGTTTTTCATTTTTCCATAAAATTTGAAAAAAAAAAACTGAAGTTTGTCCATCGATAAAAACGGAAGTCGAGGATGTTAAAATTTATCGATCTCCATCGCTATCCTATAATTAATAACGCAATCGCGGTGCAACGGAAACTAAGCAATTTACTGCGATTGAGATAAAATTTTGCTTAAAGAGCTTTTGTCTTGAGTCTCGTTACTCGTAACGAAAAATTTAATAGCAATCGATTAAAAGGTATAAGGCACCTGTGCACTACATTTAAAGGAAATTTTAATGATCTGTGTACTGAGAGAGGCTGACAGAACGAAAATTACGATCCTCGAGTGTGGGGGTTGTAACTCTTCTAGCAAATATTTCAATTTCTTTGATATATTATGTATAAACAGCCTACAATAAAATTGCTCTCGAAAAACAAATTTTCTTCTTCTTTGAAACTTACTTAAATTAAACTAGCAATCTTCAATTATGGGGTTGTAACTTTTGTGGTATATCAAATATTTCTATTTCATTGATAGATTATATTTAAATAATCCATAACCAATCCTACAATTGCCCTAGAAAAATAAACGCTTACATACAGTAGGGAGTTAATTTGAAAACTTCTCACTACAAATTTATCGAAAACCACTGATTAAAGGAAAAAACGCCGAGACACGTCAAAAGGTTTGTCAAGGGGGACAACTTTTTAACCAAAAACGACTTCATCGAGTAATAGCTTGTTTGAAAGGTCTTTTTTTTTTTTTTTTTTTTTTTTTTTTTTGAGGGCATTAACTGCTATGGGTCATATTACCCCAATTAGGGCGCCCCAATCTCTCACTACACTTTTAGATCTGTCTGTATATAACCTATTTCTCTTAGAAAACTTAGGTACTTTTTTTGCATTTATCGTTGCACAGAAGTTTTTCGACATATTACTCGATTTAAACTATGCAGCGCGCCTTTCGTTGTTATACATGGGGATTCCTGAATTTAATGGACGAATGGTTACAGTAGTCCCCATCGTTCAGCACTGTCGGGCAATCTCACCCTTAAGAATATGTTGGTGCGTTATCTGCGTATGCCATTCGCCAGTCGGTCATTTTTACATTTCTTCCTAGTGGCCTGGTTAACACATAGAGTTCCGTACATCTGGTTTTATTCGGGTCAGGTAGAGTGTTACTTTCAGCCATTTTTGTTGCCACATTAACCGTTTTCTTTTTCAGGTATTCTCCTAAGTTCCAACGGATGTATAAGGTTAACTCAATGTGATTACTAACGCAGCCTGGCCATGCAGCATGGTCGCTTGATCGTTTCCAGGTATACCAATATGACTTCGGTACCATATAATAATAATTTAAGCCTCTTTTTCCATGGTAAGAACTGAAAGGACTGGCATCTTTTCAGTCATCGCATCAACAGGATATATTTCAGAGATCCCATTCACTGCTTCCATACAATCTGTGACGATGATAACATTTTTGTCTATCGCCGATGGAGCAATATAACAACGCCTGCCACAGCGCATATTGTTCGGCAAAGCGAATTGAGGACCACGAACATAAACTCCATTCATAGGACTCTTCTCCAATCACCATCGCACTTCCAACACCACTCTCCGTTCTAGACCCGTCAGTATAGATGATTTCATACGAAGGATATTCATTACATATATCTTGGAATTTCTGTATATAAGTGTTACTGTTTGTAGTTGACTTTTTGTATTTCGCAAGTTCCGTTCTTATTTCGACTGCAGGAGTCATCCACGGTGCAAACTCTTGTGTAGTGTTTTCCAGAATTTCCGGAAGAGCGATACCTTGCAATTGAATATCCTCATAAAACCTCACACTTGCTGGTCTAGTAATAGTAGGTCGCATTCTATAAGCATTTTTATCCACACTGAAAATTATGCTATTAGGGTGACGGGGTAATGACAGTAGTTTAGCCATGTAACAGTAAGTTAACTGTTTTCTTCTCGTATCAAGTGGTGAAATTCCAGATTCGCAATGTAGGCTGGCTACCGGACTCGTAGGAAATGCTCCTATACAATACCTTATAGCAGCATGCTGCACAGGATCTAATATTGTCAGTAACGTTTTACGTGCCGACGAATAGGCAATGCTACCATAATCCATTTGGGATCTTATGAGCGCTTGATAAATTCGAATAAGGCAGTTAGCATCTGCACCCCACTTGGTATGCGCTAATACTTTAAGTATGTTGAGACTGTTGACGCATTTAGTCTTCAAGTGCTCTAAATGAGTTCTCCAAGTAAGGGATCTATCAAACGTGAGACCAAGGAACTTAGCAGCTTCCGAGCATCTGATGTTATGGTTCGTCAGATATAACATAGGATCATAGTGTGGCCTTCTTAACCTGCAAAAATGGACGCATTGTGTTTTTTCGTGTGAAAAACTTAAACCTATATTTTCGGCATTCCCAACAATTTGATTGATTACAGGTTGTAGTTTGCGAGTTATTTCTCCTACCGTTTTCCCTGATGTGAAGATGGCTATGTCGTCAACGTACATGCATTTAGAAATGTTTTCTGGTGTATTAGAGCATATGTCATTTATTGCTATAGCAAATAGAGTACAGCTAAGAGTCGATCCCTGAGGAACTCCATTCTCCAAAAGCTTATCATCGGAGAACTTATCACCAACTCTTACACGGAAACGCCTGTTTGTTAGGAAGGACTTCACTAACAATGGTAAGTTACCTCTCAAGTTATATTGGTACATTTTTTCTATTATGCCATACCTCCATGTCATATCATACGCGCCCTTCACATCAAAGAAAACAGCCACCAGATGTTCTCTTTTGCGGAATGCCTCTTGTATGCAGTGCTCTAAAATAATCAGATGGTCGGTGGTAGATCGGTGTTTCCTGAAACCAGCCTGATATGGCACTAGGAAGTTGTTTTTCTCCAAATACCACTGTAATCGATTATTTAGCATCCTCTCCATGATTTTACCCATGCAACACGTCAGACTGATTGGTCGATAACTAGTTGCAGACAATGGATTTTTTTTGGGTTTTAAGATTGGTATCACCACTGCTTCTTTCCATTCATCTGGGTAAGTACCCTCTGCCCATAATTTGTTATACAGATACAGTAACGATTCTTTCATTTCAGGCGTCAGATTCTTCAGCATCTCGTTTGCTATCTGGTCAGGTCCAGGTGCTGTGTTCCTGGCCTTTTGTAAAGCAAACTCCATCTCCAGCATTGTAAAAGGTAGGTTGTATACAAGATTATCGGATGTATAGAATGGTAGTTCAACCTCTCTTTGATTTTTTGTTTCAGAAAAGGTGGGGGGATAGTTTCCGGAGCTACTAACTACTGCAAACTGATTGGCCAAAGCGTTCGCGATTTCTTCTGGTTTTTCCAAGACTATCGAAGTCCTTTATTTTCACGTTTGATTTTTTAAAATCGGTCGATTGGTTTTCGAGAAAATTAGAAAAATTTTTGTGTAAATAAGCTATAAATAACCGTACAACTGCTTTCGAAATACAAACTGTTTCCCTTAATTTAAGTTTTTCTCTTAAACTTGATTATGTAATATAATACGTTTTTATGCTATATTCAAAAAAGTGTAGAATACGCATTACGTAATGAAAACTAGTGGTTGCTATTTAACCATGTAGAAGTACGCCACTGATCACAAATTTAAAGTATGTAGATTGGTAGCAAATTTTTAATAATATTAGATACCATAAAAAGCTTCTTAAAAAAATGTTGTTGCGTAGATACATATTCAGTGTTCCAGAAAAAAAATTCACCCTCGTGCCGCTGTATTTCCTCCGAAACGGTTCGACTGATTTTTAATGAATTTTTTTGTATATTTGGTAGGTATGAGAATAGATCGCAAAGTATATTTCATATCGCTAGGTTATTATGTAGTTCGCTGCGTGTGCGAGGTGAGGTGGCGCAGCGGCCGAAATAGAGCGTATGACCCATCCAACAAAACGACATTTCCCAAAGGCGGTAGGTACGAAGCTTGCGGGGTCTGCTAGTTTTCTGTAAAATTCGCTATTACATGCATAGCAATCCTCGATTGCAGAGGCTGACTTTTGTGATACACTAAATATAATTTCGTTTCTTTGTTAGATTATGTTTAACTGATCTATGAATACCCCGCAATTTCCCTCTAGAAAATAAATTTCCATCTCGTTCTAAGTTTACGTAGTTTTTCAGAAAATTCCCACTCACGTGTATAGCTATCCTCGATTGTAGAGGTTGTGTTTTTGTAGTATACCAAATATTTCAGTTTCTCTGACACATTATGTTTAAAGCTTTAAACAGTCTGTAAGTTGGAAATTCAATATAAAAATAAATTTCTGTCTTGTTCTAAACTTACGTATACGTAATGCTCACTTATATGCAAAACAGTCCTCGATAGCATGGGTTGTTATTATTGTAGTACGCTAAATATGTTTATTTCTTTAATAAATTATGTTTAAACAATCCATAAGCAACCCTGCACTTGCGCTATAAAAACAAAATTTCCGCTTTAAACTTACGTATAGTTTTCTATGAAATGTACACTTACATGCAGGGTTGTAATATTTGTAGTTCATCTACATATACTAATGTTGTTTTAGACAACAGTTAAACTCATTGTAGGTGTGGAAGCAAACTAGATTTGATCTATTTGATAGTATTACAACATGTCACACGCAAATTCAGACGCAGACAAGAATTTATTAAAGTATTGTAGTTTTAAAATTATGGTAAGTAGTCATTTTGAACGACAAAAAAACGTCATTATAGCCAATAAAAAAGGTAATTTTCATTTCGAAAATGGTATTGGAAGGTGCTGATGATTTTTTGTATTAGAAGACCAACGTGAACAAATAACAAAAATGATGTCTTGGACAATGATAAAATAATCAACAGTATTGAAAGTTGGAATCGAAATGCCTGAAAGATGATGTCCCTTACCCTTACCTTAGTGTATTCTATTCTTACACTATGCCCTTACTCGCCCGAAAAGAAAAAATCGAAAATGATTATGTCTCAATATATAATTTCAAAAAACTCAAATAACAGACATGTCGAAGGACATGAATGTGGCCAATAAAAAAGCAGTAAATTTTTTAAAGTCGAAAACCTTGAAAATGGGGAAAAGTTGTAACTCATATATAGCAAACTATTTACAAATACCTCAAACCACCAAGGAAAGTGGAAAAAGGAAATCCAAAAGAACACCATTCGATTTAATCTCATTTAACCTAAAACAAGTGACAGTTCGTAATTTTACTCTATGAATTTTTTATTGTTGTTTTACACCTACGATTTAAGTTTAAAGTTTTAGGGTAAGTATTTGAATTATTTTCCACCTGCTACTTCACTGAAATGTTTGTACCTTTTTTGAGTAAAAGCCTTTTCTTTAAGTATTTTAGCTCCGAATATTCGACAAGATTTAGAATTATTGCGTTATCATCTAACATTATCATTTAGGAAAAATTACCTAGCATTACTTTATGCATTTTTATTGTTCTCTTAAAGTCCCAACAGTTAGACAGTTTCACGTGTATAAACGTTTCCAACATAAAGCAATGATTTGGACGAAACTTTTTAATGGGCGCTCACAAAATTCGAATTTATCTAACTGTGAACAAAACAATAGTTACGGAAGCCAATTGACTGTGACCAAATAATAAAGACGAAAGCAACAATTATAGAAATTCGAGTTCAGCCTATATTTTATAACCGTACACATTTAAATTGAGCGATGATTCCACCTCCCTTTTGCATGGTATAGATAAACAAATTGAAATGCGCAAATTTCGTTTATATTAATTTCAATTAGTCGTCTATTGGAGGTGCATATTGCACTTTTGAAGGAGTAGGTATGTTAGCGTAGGCATTCTATATTGAATATTGTACATATTTCCGTTTCAGGAATCTCTGATTGAGTGGTCGTATTATGTTTGTACACAAGTGCATGATTGGATTTAACATATATACCTAAACGTAGGAGGGTATTTTGAATAACATTGAAGGTTGGAAGGTGGTAATTACACAGAAGGTGGACGTAATTGTCAAAATAAAATATACGTTTGAGTGAGTGAATATGGGGGTTGTTTATTATGGATCCTCAGATCCTTTATTAGTTTTGTATTGTCGTCCGTCCGTCCGTGTGCGCTATAACTCTTTTTAAAAGCGGCCGATTGTGTTGAAATTTGGTGTACGGGTACTTTGAACATTAGCGACGGACGCTATTGATTTTCAGGAAGCTGGTTCAACTGGTTCAACAGGAATAAAAGTTATAACACATCGAGTGAATCGGGACCAGGAATAACGGGCTCAATGTAATAGAACTCAACATATTTCATTCTCTAGGTCATATATCCAGTTTGGACTACCGCTAGATTATTCCCTATGACTCGTAGATGTTTAACAATTCAAGTAACTCTTCTCTGTGGTCTAGGTCAAAAGTTTTTAGAGCAAAATGTACCCAAAATTATTCTTTACACATGAATTTGGAGTTGTAAAAGCTTTCAAACGCATTATCTTGATGCTGAAAAAGTTCATTTGATAACCGCATGTGTGTGATTCAAAGATGTTAAATTATTTTTCTGAGGCCACATGGATTTTGATTTTGATTTCATAATCGTTATTCATACACCAAGATCATTGGGAAAAAGACTAGGAGCATTATCTCAATGCCCAAGACATGAATTTGATGCATTTTTTGCGACCACGTGGATTTTGATCAAAACATGTCAAAATGGATATTCATGCACCAAGATCATTGGTAACATTGTTTAAGAGCATTTTCTCAATGTCCGAGACGTGAATTTGATGCATTTTTGTTAACTATAAAATGCATTTTGTAAGATTAAAATAAATTGGCGTTATAAGTGATTGTAATACTGAGGATCCTTCGATATTTCGTTGTATAGGTAATGAAGAGGGTGCTTACAGTTAATTTTAAATTAGTTGAGCTTAGTTAAAACCAAAATTGTTATAAAACGAACGTCAATTTAGTTGTGCATGTGATCACATATAGGATTTTGCTATTTTCATCTTTATTACGCCAGCGAGTCTATGGAGTTTATAATTTTAATTCGAATATTACTTAACCCCAAATTATGAAAGGGGGTAGTATCTTGGTGTGTGGAGGAACATAAATAATTTATAATTTTGGATTCAATATACTCAACTATTCTGTATTTTTTTGAGTTTCATTATCGACCAGATCGATTTGTGATTTTCTGTGTTAATTGAGGTTCAATGGTCCAAAGAAATCAGTTTAAACTTTGTGCAGGTACAAGTGCAATCGTACCACTTAATTACACTGTACTTCACATTCTAACGGCCATTTAAAACGCATTAGGTGTTTGACTAGGGCCAGGTACTATACTCTTGCTATTTACTTGAATTTTAATTAGAATACTATCTACCCTTTAAAGTTACGTAGTACGTATTCCTGCTCTGCTAAATTCAAAAAAGTAATGTTCAATCACCGTTGGGACCGCAAAATATGAAAACATGAACGGACTATGACTCAAACTTACAAGCACCACATTTGTACTCGCCATCCGCAATGCATATGGACAAATTTTACAGTACGTCTTCTTATTTCAAGTGATGTTTTTTTTGTCACGATGCTAGATTGGGACTTAAATAGTAAAAGGAGAGCCTTTTTCCGTCTCCTATCAAAAAACGAAGCTTACCGTCAGTTTCAACAACCAGCGCCAGTTTGAGCATTAAAATAGCAATGGATTCGAATTAGCATTCAGAATCTAAAACAATTCGTACATCAAGTTCAAGTAAGCATCAAAGTGATTAATTGTTGGTCTGAACTGAGCGATATTAAATTTTATTCACTGTATCTGTATAAATCGTCATTGCAAATGCATACCACCTGTTCATTGAACCCGAACAAAAGAACAAAAAAAACTGTAAAACAGAATTTATGTTAAGCAGTAAAAGATAAATTGAGGGAAATAATTCGAGATTGACGTTCTTTTATCAAAAGTTTATCATTTTCCTATGACACAAAGTAGGTACCTATAAATTGACAACCCCAGAACTGTATTTACTGGTTTGTTTTTATGTCGAAGGTAAACTACAGTTTGATATGTATAGTATATATCTGGATGCAAAGCACCTAACATATCGTTATGTAACATCTTTGGGGATATAAAGGAAGAATTTTATCTACATACAAAACGGGGTGAAATGCATAGAGCATTCTAACTGCAATCGGCGAGGCCTACCAATAGTCAATCAACGTGGGATTAGGGGTATTTAATAAGTCTTGAAAAGGAAATGGCATTTGTGGTTGTTTTTATGAGAAAATTACTTTACAAGATTAAAAACTAATTGGACGTTCATTTGCCGGAATTAAGCTCTAAAATCTGATGATCCAACTTGT